TCTTCCTCAGTTTTCTTTTTTTCCAAAACTAAAAAAAGAGATCGTGTTCCCTTATAAATATAGGAGCCACACTTTTGTGCACATTTCTTTTGTGTGCATGAATTTTGTTTTATGCAATAAAACTGACTACCACATCAACTTCACTTGTGTCAAACAATATCAGCAACTCCAGAGATTCAGAAATGCTCACTAGTGAGGAACTAGTGTACATCACAAACTACATTAATGTAGTTTATACCAACTGAGACATTATTTGCTTGGAAAATTAGGTTACCTTGCACCTCTTCATACATTAGAGACTGGTTATTAGCAGCTGTGACTCAATAAAATGGAGGAAAACTTTTTTTCCTGAACAACCTTTTGAAGACCCTCATTGTTCAAGTTTGTTATTTCCATAAAATCTGAAAAGAGAAATGTGCATTTTTAACCTCACCGACAACCAGAGGTTGTGGCAAAATCAAAACAGTTTCTTGTTTGGTGTTATATATTTTTCTTCAGGTATTGAAATACCAGTACAAGTGTTTATTGTATTGGTGTCTTTGGCCTACCCAACGGAGAGAGTTTAAAAAAATCTTCCAGACTTACACGACCATGAATGGTCCATCCTAAAAGGGTGGTTGAAGCACAGAAAAAATGTAAAACTAGCAATCACTAAAACAAATTCATGAAAGTTTTTGGCTTGAAGGGACACAAGGGAAGGAGGAAAAGGAAGGAAAGAGGGATCAAGGAATGAAGTACACAGTTTCCTATGTCAAAAGATGTTAATGCTCTTAAAAGACCTTTCAAGCATTTGTTACCTCTTTGTATTATGCTTGTTTCCTCAACAATCACTTTATTGTTGTTCAAATGTAATCTACAAGCAGACTCTTTTTGTTTTTACCTCATTAAACCGTTTCTTGATAGAAGCTTGTAATTATTTTTTGTTTTCACATCATTGCCAACAAGCCTAATGATGATTATATCTTATTAGTGGAATGAGAGGTAATTATCATCAGTTCTTACAGAATCACCTAATTGTGCTCAATAGTCTATTATATGAACGTTCACTCTTATTATAGTCATAGTAATCAAAAACAGCAAACCAACGAGTTTTTCTAATAGTCCAACTTCGGCACAAAACTGGAAGCTATATTTCACAAAGGTGGTTTCAGCCTGCTTCTTATTAGTTTCATCTGACTCCTGTCTTAATGCCAAGTTTGACAGCTTCACACCCAAGGAGTAGAGGCAAGTTGGTCTGTCAAAGAAAGTCATGGGACAGGATGTGGAGCCGAGAAGTTCCTGTGTAATCGCAGCGTAGATCTCACACATCGTTCCAACTCCATAAATGCTTTAGTGAACCTCAGTGTTCTGCTCTTCACAGCTGAGAATGCAAACTGCTCTCAAAAGGAGGGCGAGAAGCTAATTGAGTGAGACAAGTGTTTACAATCTTGAACGTCAACCTTAGCGTCCTCTCAATTCCAGTAACCGTACACTGAGATACACTAGTTGGACTCTACAGAAACACCATCGTACTGGAGTTGGCCCTCCTACAGATGGTTTGCAGACAGATGAGGATTTGGCAGCGCTTGTGTTTGTTGCCTAATAGAAAGCTGGGACAGAGTGGGGATAATCGTGCATCTCTATGCATGTCTGCCATGAAGAAACATTTAAGCAGCTGGTTTTGCATCGTCTCTGTATTTTCACTGACCTATTATTTTATTGAACATCCTTTACGTGGTTTGAAGTCTTTATGGGTTGATATCTGCAGTTGCATTATGGGAATGCACTGTTGCATCTAAATGTTGAGATACAGACAATCATTATTAATCTCTGTTGATAAATTATACATATTTGGGAAGTCAAAAACTGTTGAAATGGATAGGCAAATCCAGTCTGTCTCTGTGCAGCTGTTTCTGCGTTAATGCAAAACTAAGCAGCTGTTGGCAGACACAACTCTTGGAAGGAAAGCAAATAAAAGTATTTCTCAACATGCTGAAGTGTTCCTTAACTGTCAGATTTCTGTTTACACCAGCCCACCAGGGCAGTGTTCCTAATGGTTGGGTTTTATGGGTCACCAAACTTTGGGATTCATCTGAAACAGTTGTAATAGTTCTCAGCTTTATCAAGAGGCCGACCCAGTCTGCCCCCAATCTAATCTGATCAGTAAGTGTCCCCGTTGTGTGATCTGATGAGTCACAGACATTTTTTCACTAATAGCTTCCATCAGACTGAGCGGGGCTGGCACTTTATGGTGATGAGGCAGCAGAATTTGTGGTGATGCTGGAAAAGTGCCACCCTGGTGGATTCAGACTGAACCTTTGAGGCCCATCATCACCTCAGAACTTCAAAGCAACATTTGGACCAAGGGATTGTGAGACAGTGTGGGACCCTGGGATTAGGGCAACAAACATCATCTGCAATTGAGGTCTGTGAGGTTTGGGTTTTCTTTAGTGGCTTTGCATAGTCACCCCTTCAATTTTTATCATCTGGTGTGCATGTCCAAGTCTGTACCAAGCACAGCTGGAACAAGACTACAGAGGCAGCAACTTCACAAAACAAAATACATATGGAACCTGCAAGACTTAAGACTTGTGTTTTTTGTTTAAGGCCACAAAAGAATATAAATCAGATCATGATGTTGGCGCTTGTAGGAATGCTCTGCTTCAAAACACTTAACCCACCTCAGTGAAACTTATTGTTGTGAAGCTTTGGGCCACACTGAAGGGCTGAAGTTCTGTCTCTGACCTCCTTCTAATTAAAACGAACATGCACAGGGATGAGTGAATATTTCCCTCGATCTGTCTTTCTGTGTGTTTGCGTTGACAGGATAATTACATGCTAATTTGTGTGTCTGTTGTCACAAAGGAGTTATGAGTTTTAAATTAACAGCAGTGCTTTGCTAATCTCGGAGCATCTCTACATCTATGTTTGAGACCATCTTTAAGAATAGCTTTAAAAATAATATGGGAATACCCAACAACAATCCTGCTGCGTGCCACTTCTCTGTAATTAGTGCATCAAAACCACAGGACTTCAGTGCTGTTTGCCTGGCATTCAACAATGTAAGAGATGAAGGTCATCCAGCAGTCTAACCGTACTCAGCTAGTTGATTTGTTTTTCTTTTTTTAAAGAACAAAAAATATAGTTTTGCTCAAACAAACCCAAAATAAACCCAAATGACGAATTGTGTAAAAAAAAAAAAAAAAAAAAGATACATTTTATTGAATGGATCATAAAATTCCTGTTGCTTCATGCAAGAAACATTGGTTGTTGTATTGTTCTGACAAATTTACTGTACGTAATGTTACATCATTTATTTGGATAATATTTTGTCAATGTCTAGTTTGAATAATGTTACAGTTGGAGCACTGTAATGTCTTCGCCAGTACATCCCAAAGACTCTCAGTGGGGTTAATATTTGGACATCATGATGGCCTATCCATGTGTAAAAATTATGTATTTCATCCACTCTTTTCCAATTTCAGTCCAGTAAGTCCTGGCATTGTCATCTAATGCGAATTGGTCCCGTAAACATCTGACATGGTTCCAAAAAAGTTCAGTCTGGTCCTCTGGACATTAAAAAAACAAAAAACAAAACAAAGCAAAAAAATATCGAAACATTTTGTGTCTCATCCGAGAGACTTCCTCAGTCTGAGGTGCTGTTTTCAGCTCAGTCTCTTAAATAGCACCTTCTCAGAGTGGATCAACCAGTTTGCTGCTGACAACCAAAACCAGCTGATCACAACATCATCAGGGCAGGACTCTGCGGTCTACACTCATCTCCAGGCCAGCGGTCACTCTTTCAGGGATGAAGATGTTCACATCCTGGACAGAGAGGAACGATGGTTTGAGAGAGGAGTAAAGGAGGCCATCTTTGTGAAAAGAAATCCTCCATCATTAAACAGGGGTGGAGGCCTCCGGGTTCAACTGTCCCCCTCTTACAATGCTGTGATTGCTAGTATCACTCAGCCCTCTGTGAGTAGTAAACAGCCATCAGTGTGCTAATGATCCATTGTTAGGCTGATGGTCCTTCTTGAGCATGTGATCAGCTGGTTTTGGTTGTCAGCAGCAAACTGGTTGATCCACTCTGAGAAGGTGCTATTTAAGAGACTGAGCTGAAAACAGCACCTCAGACTGAGGAAGTCTCTTGGATGAGAGACGAAACGTTTCTACATTTTTTTGTTGATTTGCTTTGTTTTGCTTTTTTGAATGTCCAGAGGACCAGATTGAACTTTTTTGGATTTTTCTACCTGGATTATTGAGCATGCTTCAGGATATCTGACATGGTTGTTTAAGAATGAAAAGTTGCTTACTGCATCGGATGGGGTGAATCACTGCAGTACTTTTTTTTGTGAAAGGCATTTACCTTTTTGATTTTTATTGGAAACCAAATGGTAACTTATTTTGTTATTCTTCAGACACTCCTGATGCACTTCCATATTGGGAGGTTCTTCACATTTTCAACCATTGGAACAAATTAAATGTTTCTACATTTCTGCATTTGTATGCCCCAAAGAGAGGGAATGATGGAGTAATACGTGTACATATGGTGAAAATCTGGTTTGCCAGTTGTATAGTAACGAGAAAAGTAGTTTGAGTAATGGCATTCTGAGAATATGGCACCATTTATGTGTCTTTGTGTTGCCCAATGAATGAATTATGAGTACCAGTGAATATCTTTGCACATTTAGTCCTCAAAAAAGGAAACAAATAAAAGCAGATTGTTTTCCTTCATTTGCTCATATTTGTACTTTTAATCCTCTTTGACTGTTTTGTCTTTGGTGCCACCTTATCATGATGCATGCATAGTTCTTATGGATAAGTCTCAAAGTCCCAAAATTCTCATTTACAAACAGACCATCCTGGAAGACCGTCCCAAACTAGCGAAATGACAAAATCTTCTTCAAGAGTTTCGCATTTTAACTGATGTAAACTCCCTATTTAACTCACCGAGGGTAATGCAGAAAACAAAGCAAATTTATTAGTCATATTTGACAGGCAGTTTTCTTTTTCACTGTTCTAGGTTCTACGTGGAGCTCAGCTGATAGCTGTTGCCTCAGCAGACGGAGCAACCACGGCAGTGGAGAGCTCTTCCCTCCCACCTGACATCCAAGTACAGTACGTTCAACTAGCTCCAGTTGCAGATCACGCAACAGCTGTTCAGGTAAACCAACACATTAAACCGCACCACAGGGTTTAGACCAGGGCTACAGTAGCCCCTTGTTTATTGCGGGGGTTTGGTTCCGTAACCCCCCCACCCGCAGTAAATGAAATTCCGCAAAGTAGCAACATTAT